TTGGGCTACTCTATTGAGTCTAGGGTCCACCCATCTTGCCACATATGTACCCCTATTCTCTCCCTTTGCTTTTGTGTGTACACCCCTAGGTCACCCCCCTCCTATTGCTTGTGCTGTCTATGTTCCAACATAGATGATGTAGAACGTCATCTGTCATCAGCGGGCTTGCATGATCTCAAAGATATATAAGCTTGGGTTAGAAATAAAACCTCACGAGAGCTCTCTCCCCTGCCCTCTCCTCTCCCTCCTCCACGTGGACCACCAAGAGGAGCTGAGGTGAGCATGCTACCATGAAATGTGTCTGACTCCTTTATTTTACTCTCTCCCATCTCTCCTATTCTCTATGACTTTATTATAATCTTTCTATATATCTTAACTGTGCAATTGTGCCTACCGAACCCGCCATTACTTGTGGGGGGCTGGCTTCCCCCACACCCAGGCACATTCCTTTGGGCCAGTATTTCCACTTCTGTGAGCTCATTTGCTCTGGGGGGATTCTGTCTGTCCCGCAATGCTGTGTTTAACAACAGCAGTGGCTGATCCCCGGTTTCCGTTTCTCACGTTGAAGTGCGTGCCACCCCTATAGAAGATTTGACAGATACGGACATGAGCCCCCTGAAGCCCCCAACCTATCTTTTTCGCTTGTAACCCAAAGATTGCCAAAGATGATCACTTGCAGGTGGATGATGGTGAAAATGAGCACGAGTTATCTTGAGGAACAGCCCGTTTGGGTGCCGGTGCAGAGGGTGAATTGCACGCCGTGGAAGCAGAGGCGATGGATCGTGCAGCAGCGCCATGACAGTAACCCTGGCAATTTTGGAAGTGTCGGGGCAGACAACGGTCTCCCTTGGGGCTTTGAATGAGCACCACCAGTGTCTTATGGGTCGAAGAGTGGCTCAGGCCCTGTTTGTATTAGTGGGCAGCATCTAGTAGCTGTGGAGGAAGAGGCAGAGGAGGAGGATGTGAAGCTTGCAAGTCGATTGGTGAAAGTGGGCTGCCCCCAGAGGCCGAACCAAGATTCCACAGAGAAAAAGTAACACTTGCTGTTGATAAAGATGATGGTGATGATGCTTCTGATGATGATGAGACTGAAGGAAAAGGTACAGTGAAGGAATCTATAGGGGAGACTCCGGCTAAAAATGTTCAAAAATCAAACCTGTTTGGGCCAGGTCCGGACCATGCAGCCCTGCATGAGTCTGGGTACTTTAGAGAAATAAATCCACAGCAACTCATGTATAAGAGAGAGTTTTATGTAACGGGTAAGTGCGCATCAAGAAAATATTCCCTCAAAAAAGTAAAAAAAAAAAAGAAAGAAAGAAAATATCCCAACCCAGTGCTGCCCAAGCCCACAAGTCCAACATTAACCCATATGTCCAACACCAATCCACAAAGTCCTCCTCCATCTCACAAAGCAGGCACAACAATGCCAACTGCAGGAGGAAAGCCGAGTCAGTGAATGTGTAAACATCTCAGCACTGGCAGAGGTCTCCACACGGCTGCTCCAGCACCCAGGGCTGCATCCGGGTAGGTCCATGTGGCTTCTCCTTGGGGATGTCTTGTAGGATGTCAATCTTGCAAGCTGGAGCAGGGAGCTGCTAAGGCAGCTGCACCCTGGTGGTGCGACCACAAAGCAAGAGACCCGAGAACTAGAAAGGCGAGGCTCACCGAGCCCTTTATCCCTCCGCCTTTCAATTAGCCCCACATGTGTTTATCGGCCAGGTTGGCACAATAAACTAACTACCTCAAGCCCCTCCGCCCAGCCTCTCAGAAAGACGGGTGACCTGCTGGACTTTGCAGTCCCTGCCTCCAGCAGTCCAAGGAGTTTATCTCTCTGGGCAGGGTCCACACAGCCCCTTCCCCCACCTCTCAAGGCCAGAGCTGGACTGAGCAGCCTCTTCCCCCACATTCCAAGAAGCTGGTCTGGGAGGGACCCAGACTGCAGCTGCAGCACCAGGAGGCCTCCCTTCTCCTTATTGGCACAAGCACCAGCAGCTCTCTCCACCTCGTTTGCATATTTCCCTGACCCAGATCCTACAAATGGCCCACTGCCCCACCGATGGGTCTCGGAACTTCCCAGGAGCTCAAGATGCTCCGGTCCCTTCTCTGTTCTCCCTTCCCTCCCAGGATCTCTTTCCCTACCCTTATAAAGCCGCTCTGAACCTCACGTTCTTTGTCTCAATTCTATCTCCGTTCAGCGTCTCAGTGTTCACCTCTCAAAACCAGAATGGAAAAATCTCAAGCTCATCTGCACCTGGATCCAAAGGTCAAGAATCCTTTAAAAACAAAACAGAAACAGGGAAGGGCTCCCCAAACACGGAAAGGACCTGGTTCCATCAAAGACATTAAAGCAAGTATGCAGGCAAGTATAGAAAGGGGTGGTTCTCTTCCTCCAGGGGAAGCCAAAGCTCTACAGTGATGTAAAGAATTGCTTCCGGAAGACTGATCAGAAGGCTATGCAAGACGTTTGGCTGTGGAGGACATCTCTTTAGGAAAACAATGTAAACAGTTTGTTAAAATTTTCCTTCTTGTTCCGTTTCTGTAACTGCTGCTATCTGGCTGTCCTTGGTAAGGCAGAGTGAGAGCTTTATCCACCCTGTCTCCTAAACATGGTCCAGGTTCCTTTGCCAAGAATCTGTTGTCCAAAACGTCTGTTTTGTTTGTAAAGATGGAAGTCCACCCTTGGCTTGGCTCGAAGTATGCAGGCAACATTATGACGGGACAGGGGCAGCAGGGCTCAGGCAAATGGAAATGATGTGGGGAGACAAAAATATACCTGTGAAATAAAACTCGGTATTTTAATAAAGTACTTTTTAAAAGAAGGAGAAGAAAGATAATTTGCCAGGGCATACGCCATCGTGCAGTGTGGCAGAATAAGATGTGGCAGGACTGATCGTAAAAGTAAGATATTGGGAAGAGCGGATGTTTCCATCCAGAAAGCAGGAGAGGAATTCGCTGTGGCAATCCCACACCAGGGAGACCGTCCTAAGCCAAACTCGCTGCCATCCATCGAGTCGATGCTGACGCAGAGAAACCCTGGAGAACAAGGCGGAACTGACCCTGTGGGTTTCCAAGACCGTAAATCTTTACAGGAGCAGAAAGCCTCATCTTTCTCCTGAGGAGCAGCTGGTGGTTTCGAACGGCTGACCTTGTGGTGTTAGCAGGCCAACATGTAACTCACCACCAGGGCTCTTTAGCTAGCTCGGAGAGCTGATCCTGCCACCAGTCTTTTTAGCAATATAGAAGCTAATGAAGACAATTTTAGAGCATGAATCAAAACTGGAACAAGTCTTGCGTTGACTAATAAGATTCAGAGAACAAGGTCCGATCCAAACAGTGGCTTCCCAGGGGATCTCCCGGTGGTCCTGGAGTCAAAGTATTTGAGGCCTCCGGCTGGGAGGCGTGATCGAAGGTATTGGTTGACCCCATTGGCTGAATTTAAGCCCACCTGGGCCGCCAGGTGTACTGCCCACCTGGCTCAGGCTTCAATTGACGCATGCCCAGTTAGCCTTCATGGCTCGCCCGATTCTCTTTCAACCTCCTGTAGGGGGCTTTCAGGCATGGGAAGGGACAGCCCCCCTGTCATTGTCTCATGCTACCTAATAGGAAGACCAAAGAACTGATGCATTTGAATTATGGTGCTGGTAAAAATATAGAAAATGTCATGGACTGCCAAGAGATCAACCGAGTCTGACTTGGAAAAAGGACAGCCAGACTGCTCCTTCGAGGCAAGGCTGGCAAGACTTTATCTCACGGATCTCGGAAGAAGGCACCATTCTCAAAAAAGGAGAGGGACCGAGAAAAAGGAGGAAGAGGCTGCAACAATGGGCTCTGACGTGAGAACAATTGTGAGGGTGGCGCAGGGCCCCACCCGGTGGTGTTTCCTTCCGTTGTGCATGGGGTGGCTACCATATGATTTTACAGCAACACTTTTTGACTCTGACATGGTCCAGAGGTTTGACTAAAGACTAGGTCCTGCCTTCTGAGAATCCACCCAGGGGGTGGAATGTAAATATGAGCAAATCACCGTGGACTTGGATCTACAATCAACCATCGTGGAAGCAACAGCCCAGAAATCAAAGGGGGTGCAGCGTTGGGAAAACCTGTTGCCAAAGACCTCTTTTAAAAAGTGTTAGCTCAAAACCGAAGCCGTCACTTTGAGGATTGAGGTGCGGCTGACTCAAGCCATGGTTTTTCCAATTGCCATGTGCATGCAGACGCGGGACACTGGATAAAGCAGGCCAACGGAGGGATGATGGCTGGGAATAACCGTGTTGGTCAAGGGCATTGAGTACGCCATGCAGTGTCAGAGGAATGGACAAACCTGTCTTGGAAAACGGACAACCACAATGCTCCTTAGATGCGTGGATGGCTTGGCCATGCGACCAGGAGGGCCCAGCCCCTGGGGAAGGGCATCTTGCTTGATAAAGTAGAAGAGATGGGGGGTAGGGGGGGACTTAAGGAGATGGATTGCCAGCGTGGTTGCAACAATGGGCTGTAACATAGGAAGGACTGAGAGGATGGTTTATGATCCTAAACATCTCCTCCAACGATTCACGCATAACCCACTGAGCAGACGGCACATCCAGGCAGGCCCAGGGCTGCCGTTACAGCTAGGTGGTCGCATGAGTGCTAAAAATGGTGGAAGCTGCGTTAGGGGAAGTAAAACTCGCCCCCACACCAGGTACCTGGGGCGTGGACTGGAGATTTGGGTCACCAAGAAAGCAGTGGGTGAAGTGACCGCTGCCCGTGGGGCGGGCCACTAGCTCTGGGAGTGCCAGGCTGGGTCTCCTCCCCCGCCGGCCTCTCGGCAGCAAGGGCCTCCCTCCACCGCCAGCCGCTCTCCTGGACCCGGGCCCCTCCCTAGTTCCGGCCCCCGCGCCACCCACCCTCAGGGGAGGGGCGACCTCCGATCTTGGAGCCCGGACTGGCCGCCAGCGCCCCCGGGAGCAGGCCCACTGCCCAGGCCGCTGGTCCCGAGGCTCCCTGGGCGGGGCCGGTCCTGGGTGGCCCCCCGATTGCCTTCCAGCGCAGGGTGGGGAAGGGGACCTTAGCCCGCTGCAGTCTCGAGTGGGCCTCCAGGTGAGCACCGGGTCAGTCGGAGACCCAGGCCGGGACCTGCGCGTCCCACCCCCGCTCGCAGCAGACTCGGGGCCCAGGGGCAGGCCCGGAGGGGTCGCGCGCCCCAGCGTCGCTGCAGCCGACCGAGGCCACCCCTTCGCCCGCGTCTCCCGCGTAACCCCGCAGGCACACAAACACACGCCCCACCCCCAGATCCAAAGGGGTGGGGGCTTGGTGTTTGCAGCGGGGACGCGCCCGGGCCTCCGGGAAAGTCCCCGCGAAACTTACAAGCGCACCACGTGTGCCCGGAGGCCCGGCCGCCCGCCCCCGGGCTGGGGTCGGTTCCTGCGGGCCGCGCCTCCCCCAAATCCACGGACCCCGTTTCCGAGCGCTGTGCCCGGCGGTTGAGCCGCGGACTGGGGTGAGCGCGGCCGCGCCGCTCGAAAGGACTTGTCCAACGTCCCACTCCGCTCTCCCCCGCGTGCTTGAGACGCGGTGCAGTCGGCTGCAGACAGCGTCCACGGTCTTTTTTTGGAAGGCTGGAATACTCCAATGCCTACTGAAGAAAGAAGAAACAGCTGCACACCAGAGTAAAAGACATCTGAGCTCTGGATGAAAGATAACTGCCCTTTAAATATCTGCGCCTGCCCCCTCCTAGGGAATCATGTGTGTGAATCACACACACATGATTCCCTAGGAGGGGGCAGGCGCAGATATTTATATATATTTATATATATATTTTATATTTATATATATACACATACACATACATATCAAATCATTAGTAACTTGTGAGCGCTGGTGAATCGTTGTGTACGTGACTCGGTTTTCTTAAAAAGAACCACCTTTTCGGCTTCCTATATTCCTGGTGTTCACTTCATGTCGTTAAAGCAAATCTGTTACTTCTTTTCCTTGTGAGTTGGGTGATGGTTTACAGAGCAGATCATCCGTTTCCCATTTATTAATCCCCATCAGTCAACACACCATGCGTGTTTGATGGTAGTGTGAAAGTCTTGTCTTGGCCTTTCAGCGATACTGCTCTCCTTCAGGAGTCCAGGTGGCGGAGTGGGTTACCCACGGGGCTGCTAACTGTAGGGTCAGCGGTTTGAAACCACCAGCCGCTCCGAGAGAAGGAAGCCCACGGAGCAGCCCTGCTCTGTGCTGTAGGGTGGCTCTAAGTCAGAGCTGAGTCCTGGCAGTGAGGCTGGTTTGATTTGGGCCTCGCATAGTCTTGGTTGCCTGGTAATCGACTAATTTCACTCCACAGAATGTCCTCCAGGTTCCTACCCGGTCTGAGGAGTCCCTCTGATTCCTGTTTTTCCTCCATGATGCGGAGTATTCCATTGGGTGCATGTACCAACGTTGGTTGATCCATGCTTCCACGGATGGGCATTTAGGCTGCTTCCATCTCTTTGCCACTGTGAATCGGACTGCGATGAAGATGGGCGTGCGTGTGTCTATTCCTGGGGTGCCCCTAGGATATGTACCAGTAGAACGATGGTTGTGTGGCCTGGCATTTCTACATTGTTGAGGACTCACCCTACAGCTCTCCATTAATGGTGGCACCGTTTGACCATCCCACCAGCAGTGCAGAAGTGTTCCACTCTCTGCACACCCTTGCCAGGCTCTGTTGTCCTGTTATTTCTCCATTTACCGGTTTTTAGACACTGCTCACTGGCCCCTGGGATTTCGGCTTCTTTGATCATTCGCACTCCACTTTTTCTTCTGTGTCCTCCATGAGCTGGTTTGGGAATACAAAATGATCCTTTTAACTTTGTAGGCCTGCCGCCTCTGGGTTTCCAAGACTTTAAATCTTTACAGGAATAAACAGCCTCATCTTTCTAGCCAGTAGCCGGCTGGTGTTCCCGAACTACTGACACTGTGGTAACACCAGAGCTCCTTAGAGCAGTTTAATAGTGGAGCGTGTTTGGTGGCAGATATACCTTCATGACTCAGGGGCCCTGCTGGCGCCGTGGTTGTGCATTGGGTTGCTATCTGCAAGGTCATCCGTTTGGCACCATCAAACCATCAGCCACCCCGAGGCTCCTATGAAATTCACGGGTAATTCTACCCGGCCCCGTAGGGTCGGCATTGACTCATGCAGTGTTTTTTTTGAGTTTGAGATATCTCCACGGCCATCGTCTGTCCACGTAAGTACTGTTAACATGGGAGCCCTGGCTTCCATCTCGTGTCCGAGGGCTAGATTTTGAACTTGGCGTTTTCTCTTGTTCATGCCGCAGGTGGTCCTTCGTGGTGCTTCCTGGCGTGGTGCTGTTTCCCCAGCATGTCTCCCCTGAGCCCCGCCCCTCCTCGCCACATTGTTTTCATGGCCGAGCGGTTCGGACACAGAGGTTCCGACAAAAGAGCCGCAGGCGTGGGCTTCTATATTTTCCGAGCTGGATGTTAGCTGCTCTCATCGTAACCAGGGCCACAGGCCAGTGAGCACAAGCCCAGCCCCAGCTCTGAGCTCACCGATTCTCCCACCACTGCGCCGGGTAGGACCCTGTCAGAGAGGACCTGCGCTCCTTCCGGTTTTCTGGGACTGGTTCTGCTGGAGTGGATCGCCAGGCTTTTCTTCTGCCGGTTCTCTGGGCAGACTAGAACTTCCAACCTTTCCGTCAGCAGCTGGTGACATGAACTGTTTGAATCGCCCAAGAACTCCGGGAACTATTAGAGGTCCCCAAGCCCTTATCCAAAACCTTTGGGACCAGATGTGTTTTGGCGATGGAGGCTTTTTGAATAGCCCTGGTGGTGTAGTGGTTATGCTTTGAGCTGCGGTCTACAACTGCAGCTCCTTGGAAGAAAGACAGCCTTTCTATTTCCGGTAAAGAGTTGCAATCTCAGAAGCTCACAGGGGCCGTTCTACCAAGTCCTATACGGACTTGGTGGAAATGAACTTTTAAGAATCTGGAGTGTAATCAGACACACTGATCCTTCGTGAAATGCATTTCATACTCAATGGGTTAACCAAATACCACCCCCCAACACCAACACCAGCCCCTTACACTGATGTAAGTCAACTCCCATTGGTTCTCTGGCCCTGGAATCAATTCAATTTACAGAGACACCCACCCACCACCCATGGCAGGGTAGAACTGTGCTTCTTAGGGATTCTGTGGCTTTGACCTTTTAGAAGCAGTTCACCTGGCCTTTCTTCTGAGGCACCTCTGGATAGGTGGGTGACTGCCAATCTTAAAAAAGTTAGTAGCTGGGTGATTAACCCTTTGTGCCACCCAGTGATTCACTGTACTGACTTCCTGGCTTACAGGGGGGAAAGGAGAGCAGTAGTTCAAGTGCTCAGCTGCTAGCCCAAAGGCCAGTGGTTCGAGCCCACCAGCTGCGTAGTGGCGAAAAGATGAGGCAGTCTACTTCTGTGGAGATTTACAGCCCTGGAAACCCCATGGGGCAGTTCTCCTCTGTCCTCCAAGGTCACTAGGAGTCAGACTTGACTTGGCGGGCAGTGGGCATTTACAGGGGAATTCTCCCTCTCTTAGAGGGCTTGCCATTGGCTGGAGTTTCAGGAAGTCAGCGTGAGGTGGGGGGCCACCATAGAACCTGCCTTTGAACATCTACTTGGATCACTTCCTCTCTGGGCTCTACCAGTAGTTCCCAACCCATCTCCCTTGCCGCCCCCTGCTGGCCTCTTACCGAGAAATGTCACTCCTCCTGGAAAGAAAGTGGCAAGACGTTTGAATTGAGCAAAATGTATAGAATTGTTTAATGGGAACCGAATTTGTTATGTCAACTTGCACCAAAACACCATAATATTATATAGATATATTATATACATATAAGTTTTACCAGCGTGCTTGGAACAAAGGAATAAATAAAAACTCACTGCCATCGAGTTGATTCCGATTCACAGCAACCCTCTAAGACAAATTAGATCTCCCCCCATGGGTTTCCGAGACTGTAAATTGTCAAGGAAGTAGAAAGTCTCATCTTTCCCCTGTGGAGCGGTTGGTAGTTTTGAACTGCTGATCTTGAAGTTAATAACCCAAAGGGTAGCCTACAATGTTGAAGCACCCAACAAATGTCCTCTATTATCTTTGCACTAAGGTAAAAACCAAACCTGGCGGCAGCGAGTCAGACTCCTGGCATTTCAGAAAAGCAGCGCCCACAGTCCTCTCGGGGGTCCTCTTTCTGAAGATCATCGGGTCTTTCTTTGGTGGCACCACTGGATGGGTTTTGAACTACCAACTTCAGGTCAGGTGTCAAGGGCAAACTGTGGGTGTCACTCAGGACCTCGTGCCCTAAGACACAATTTCACTATATCCTTCTCTAGCTTATAGAATTCCTCATGGGATTATGTCTTTTTTTAGATTGTAAAATATCTTTACATTGAACAACATAAAACATCATTCCAGCTTCAATACCCATGTAGCCAGGAACCAGGTCAACTGAGAGAACATTGTTAGTCCCCGAATGCTTCCCTGTCTGAGTCTTCTGGTTCATAACCCTCTCCCTCCCCACAAAAGGGAACCATCATTCTTACTTCACGATGCCTTTCTGTACATCATTTGAGTACCTATAGGAGAGCCCTGGGCATGTATTAGACTGCCAACTGCAAGGTCGATGGTTCAAAGCTACCAGTTGTGCCTTGGAAGAAAAATGTCGGCTCCCATAAGGATTTACAGCCTTGGAAAGGCTATGGAGAGTTCTAGTGAGTCAGAATTGACTTGGGAGCAATGAGTTTGGGTTTGGTATTATCCATTAAAAACAAACAAACATACAAACAAAACCAACCCCTCTGCCATCGAGTTGATTCCGACTCCCAGCACCCTATGATTATACATCTTTAAGGGAGCAGACAGCCTCGTCTTTCTCTTGAAGAGGCACTGGTGAGTTTGAACTACCGACCTTGCAGTTCGCCTGCTGACTTTGTATGCAAATATATGCATGCCATATGGGGGTGTGGGGAGATGAGCGGGTTAGTGAACCTCCTAATGCATCAGTTTCCTATGCTCGTACTTATGATCTATGTGACTGTGTTATATAGGAAAACGTATGGTAATTTATCA